AATTAAATATTTGTAAAACTGCGCATTCTAGAAAAAAGTTTCAAACAAGAGTTGTATGGCTTTTAGGCACGAAATGAAGATGACCTTGCCAATGACCTTGAATACTACTAAAACATCTATCTTGAGCATAGGATCGTCTTTCTTTTGTAAAATACCAAGGAGCGTCCATCATATGATAATGGATTTAAATTCGGACTCACGGTCTGTGAAGAAACGTCTTCCCAATTCTCGATACATCTGGTCCAAATTCAAACCAATTAACTCACATTCCTTATACACGGTGTCCCATTTTAATTTCTCCAATTCAATATTTCTAAAACTGCGCATTCTAGAAAAAAGTTTCAAACAAGGGTTGTATGGCTTTTAGGGGCAAAATGAAGATCACCTTGCCAATGACCTTGAATACTACCTTAAATGTAGTTTCAAGGTCAGGTGAAAATTTTTAAATATAATATTTATTCCCTTTTTCACATCGGAATTCAACAGAGGGGCAAATGTTACGTCCTTGATCGTGACCTTGACCATGCCTTCAATGTAATTTCAAGGTCAAATCGAGACATCGAAAACAATTTGATCTAGCAAAAATGTCGACAGCGTAGTTGTGAGGTTTGTTCACCCAAAGATAGCCTTGACCATGACCTTGACCGAACCAGGTCAAGTTAATATTTACAAAGAAGGCCATTTTTATACTGGAAATAAAAAATGCTGGCAATTTTACGACCGAATATAACCTTGAACCCAAAGTCAAGGTCGTGTAAAACGTAAATGCTGCTTGAGATCAAGGTCAGATTTTGAAGCTCATGGCTATTTTGATTTGAAAACATCAACTATCAAGTTCTCCAAATTTTGGTTTTCTTAGGTTTGCCAGAGCATTCAATAAAATGTATTTCGTTTTTAAATTCCACGCAGTATCCAAACATCATTTTAAATCTAAATTAAGTAATTCATTAAGCCAGGCTAACGCCTTTGACTAAGCTAACCAAGCAAGTTTAATAAATATAGTTAACTTGTTTTACTTGTAGCAGGCAAACTTATTTTAATAGTTCATTAATTTTAAATAAGCTGGTGTAATAAATCTAAATTAACGGCTTAATAAATTTAATTAAACAATTGCGCTTTGATTCATAGTTTCATAGATTCAAGTTAGCTGGAGTTTGAAGTAAGCTTGTGGCTGTCACTTTTTTTTCAGTTTAATTAATTTTTTCTCAGTGTGGCGGGTTTCTCTGCCAGGCATTACGCGTTCATCATCGAAGAAAGCACAGACTTAAATCACAAAGTAATTATTCCGTCATTAATTCATATAAATCCATGTAACCAGATCAAATCCTTCCTTTGGAGATATTTTTCACTTTAAAATCGGAACGCTGCATAGAAATTCCGCCATCGACCAGCATTCGTTTCTGACCCCGGATGGATCCTTAGGGATCGGCTCTCCGAACGGATCCAGCGTGTCTTTTAACTTTTAAATAAGAGGATGTTCCATTTTTTATTTACAAAGCATAAGTCGTAAAAACACAAAATCGTGTAGGGTCCAGGCGTTGCATGTTCGCATGAATTTTGCAGGATTCGGAAAAGGGGAGGCAAAAATGTGTTTTATTCATGATTTACACTGCATTTACAAGCCTGGCGTTTTAATGCCCAGGGACCGAGGGTAGCCGTTTGAGTAGTATTTTATGGTATCTGATAGTATAGAAATGAAACACTGTTTTAAACGACAACTATACAGGATGACCTGTACGAAGTGCGACAAAAAACAATCGTAGTTTTGAATACTTTATGATTCTAAATGCAATTTAATTTAAATAAAATACAGTACAACATAACCAAACTAGTAATATTCTTTTTGGCCTTCGTTCCTCTGGGACGTCCAGAACCGTTACCACCGAGAGTACAAGGCCAAACAACTGGGCTGTGAAAAGCCTATGACCTCACGCAGAGTAGGCCTATGCATGTTCGCGATGCTGGCTGGCAAGAGAGCAGCGCCACCATTTCTCTGCGGTGTTGTCATATCTAGATTTGATATAGCAGTATCGAAATCTCTACTAATCAGTTGTACCTCTCTGTGGGCGAATTTGCAAGATGTACTCGGAGCCTGCGCAGCTTCAGTGATGATGTGATTATTCTTTCTGATCTGCCTCAGTATGTCAAGAATACATTTTCGATATTACGTTCAATATGTCACTTGTGAAGTCTAATAATTAGAATATGTTGCAACCTTGGTAACACCGCTAACATCCAACAGCCAACTAACCTCAAATTCCGAGCCTCTCTTATGCAGTGTTGCCAGAAGTAGCGGAATTCCGCTACTGGTAGCGGAATTTTCAAGTGGTAGCGGCGTAGCGGCGGAATTTGATTTTTTGTTAAAAGTAGCGGAATTTTGCAATTTAGGTACACGTGATGGATATTTTTGCCAGAAAAAAAATTTAGTGCAGTTAGTAACCAAATCTAAATACAGATATCTTTCCAATCGACAGTGGTAACCACCGGTCGGTAATTCTTATTCAATGGAGACGCGTATAGATGGTAGTAGGTGGTAAGAACACAACCTGTGAAGTGTATTTCCAAAGTATGTCTAATAATTTTAACTTTTGCTACATGGTAGTGCAGATGTCGAGTGAACATTCTGATATATGGAGATAATCAAAACAAAGATAACAAATCGTATTTTATCTTTAAGTTTTGATCGCGATAAATATGGGTACAGTACAAAAAAATGTTGCTGCTTAGACTTCGAGTTTGGTGAAAAACATTTTAAAAAACACAAAAATAATTTATATACGTGAAGAATCTGATACAGACAGTGACTAAGTTTAAGGTTTAAGTAACTCAAAAACTTCAATTTTTTTATGCAAGACAGAAATGGCCTTTAGTCATAACCTTTTTATTTTTTAGTTTCCTGTGATATTTTTTAATATGACTGCGTAATAAATGTTCTGTTGTTTGATAGTTATTTGTAATATTGTATTGGTTTTTATAGTCAAATGTTTTTTTTATTACAGTTTTATGTTATATTTTATCACGCTGTTTGGTTTTTGTTTTCCCTTTTTGACACAATCTATATAATAAATACCCCCTGTCTTAGTGCGCCCCCTCCGCCCGACGATAATCCCCGGGGTAGCGGAAAGCAGCGGAGTTTTTCGATACCAGTAGCGGAATTTTCAATGTTGGCTCTGGCAACACTGCTCTTATGTATCTTTCTGTACTATGTAAAATATTGATGTTTTAAACTTATATTTGTGTCTCGCGATTGTTTAGCTAAGTTTTCAAAATGCCTTACAAGTGCTGCGTTCCTAATTGTGTCGGTAATTACGGGAAGGGTGCGAAGTATTTTCGTTTCCATTGAACGAAAACTGTCGTAAGAGATGGCTCAATGCAATCCTTCGTAGTAATTTAGTGGTCACAAAAAACAGCAGAGTATGCAATTTGCACTTTGCTGAGGACAGCATCATTTGGGAATCCACCTTCCATGACGAAAAGATAGATAGAACCATTACTGTACCCCTTAAGTATCCAAAATAAAAGGCAGATGTAATTCCAAGTATCTTTGCAAATTGTCCAAAATATCTTTCAAAGGACATAGCAAGCAGAAGAAGCCGAGATGAGAAATTGAGGGACAAGGAACAAGAACAACTACTTAAAGCGGTGCAAAGTAGCATTGATGACTATTCCTCCTATCCAAAATCAACAAGTTTTTAAAATTATTCAGACTTTCTCATAGTTTTCAGTTCATGGAAATGTCCATAAGGGTGGCATAAAATTGTTCAGGATAAAGTTACTTTGTTTAAGTTAGAATATAAACCAGCACCCATCATAACTCACTTTGTAATTGTTGATAAAGATCTCAATGTAAAAACGTATATGTACTCCCAAGAATTGTTCTCAACTCAGGTAATATTAAAACTCCATTTTTATTATCTAATATACACAACTTGCACGATGTTCTGCATGTTCTTTCTGAGAATGCAGATGCTTCGAGGGAATATTCAGGTAAAGAGCCACTATCAATCATGCTCAATATTTTAAATAGCACAGAACTATTCACCGATGAAGAGACCCACACTGTCATTCAATTTATTTGTAAGCAACTAAAGCTTGTTATTAGTCAGAAGAACAAACACAGTTACTCATCAGAAACAATAGTGTTTTGCTCTATGTTGTATACAATCAGTCCACATTCATATAGATTTATTAGGAGCCATGGAGCACCTATTTTACCACACAAAAATACTCTGAAGTCAATTTGTACTACATTGATGGTCAATCCAGTTCCAGATGTGAGATATAACTTTTTTGGCTATGCAAAGAACACAACTGTTCAACAAGCACTACATTTTTTATATAATTTTCAAGTACCATTATATTATGCCTATAATAATAGCAAATTGTCCACATATTCCTGTGAAATTTTGTTGATCGGTTGTGACTAACATGGGGTTATTCATTGAAGAATTTATCATTTTTAGCAAGCTTTTATAACATCAACTCATTGCACTAATGTGCACGTAATGTTGGATGAAATATCGGTGAAAATCAGGGTGAAAATAGTTAATAACTACTTTAATATTTTCCACCAAGTTGCCTTCATATACTAAAAACACTTTTTTGAATTATCCGTTATTTACATCAGGTAGAGGATATTAGTATAGTAGTATAATAATATATCATTCACTAGCGCTGATGTACGGCACGCCGTGCTGTCGGCCGGCCGACCGGCCTACTCGTGGTGACGTCACGCGTCTGTTGTCAGGCCTTGTACTCTCGGTGGTAACGCCAGAACCCCTCGCTCGCTACCCTTGAATTCTAATAAACGTACGTAGGTATTTACCTTTCTTACTCAGAACACTTTGGGTATTAATGGAATTGTTCAATCATTTGGATGTATAGTATTTTGAAAAAAAAAATCCAGTCATTTTAAGTTCGTTGAGTTGAGATATTTAATAGCTCGAGAAACAAACCGAAATATCTGTTTTTCGATCTGCATGGTTAGTAAGAAGCAACATTGATTTTTTAGATAATTTATTATCTATCAAATAAATACAATAAATAAGCATGCCTTGTGATCCAGAATATTATAGAAACTTGGCAAGTTTATCCTTGTGTGGCCTTACATTTGTGTGTCAGTAACTAGATCCAGGATCTTCCTCAACGTAAACGAGTTATAATATTCTGGGACACCGGACGTAAATAAAATCGCACATCTAAGTTCAGTTCTACCTAGTCTTTGTGGAAGTGTTTGGTTTGTAGGGAGTACCATAATAGATAGGTGCAAAATTATTATCCATAGTATTCACAGAGTAGTATGCCGAGTAAGGATTATTGGCCTCCATTTTGGCAGCGTATCCGTCTCCGTGGGGAATATGGTTGTATGAGTATCCAAATCTGTCGTGTTCGTGGCCGTCTTCGAAGTCATAGTGATCCTCTTCGCTTTCGTGGTGAAGTGGTACCGTTGTGACTCGTACCTGGAATATAAAAATGGTACTTCGAAACAAATTACATACTTAAAGTCGAATCCTAATCGATGGATTTCTGAATCGGCCATCCCACTTTTTTATGATTCTATTTTAATAAGGAAAATGTATGGGTAATATATGGATATAAACTCAATGAATCATGAAGAAACGACCACTGCAATGTTTTTTCTATCTAACAATGATTATAATCAATAAATTGCAATTAAAAGCTACAAGTATGTTGTGGTAATATACAGTAATGGACAAAAGTACATAGACAAATTAATATTGTGCTGAGTTTCTTTTTTAACTTGTTTTATTATAACACCAACCTGTATACATAGTTCGTTATAGCATAATACTCACTTATACATAAATAAATTCATTACCCTTCAATAAAAAATTGATTGAAAAAAACTGGAACTATGAAGGACATAAATATATATACAAAGCAAAACAATTTTAATAAAAGAAGCAAAGTTCATTGAATTATAGAAAACCAACCATGTTTGTGTTAATATTTTGTAGCATAACCATTATTATCACTGATCAACAGCCAAAAAATATCCTAAATAAAATCAACAAAATATTACTATTTTTAATGTGCTAAAACCGGAATGAAACTTATTTTTTCAATATCAGTTCAAGTTTTAGAGAAACGGTAATTATATGTGTTCCTGCTGTGACAGTGTTAATATACTGTAATTCACAAGAATGCACGTGCTACATTTTTATATTCGGCAAGGAAAGATGATGTAATCGGCATGATTGTGTTACGTTATACATACGTGTACATTATATTGTTTTATATTAGCCAGTTTTTCCTCAGTTGGCTGACAGCGTTCATGCAAGATGTCTCGAAAGTGTGTAAACAATCCAGATCAGTTTTGTTACGTGTGTGGTGATGTGACTTTTGCGTCTCAGAGACAATCTATTACTCCACTAATAACAAAGGCATATCAGCTTTATTTCGGTTGTAAACTAGGTGATCAAGACAAACAGTGGGCACCCCACATCTGCTGTAATACATGTGCTTCAAGTCTGAGGAGCTGGTTAAATGGCAAAAAACGGTCTATGCGCTTTGCTGTGCCAATGGTTTGGAGAGAGCCTACAAAGCATATTATTGATTGTTACTTTTGCATGGTACCTTGTGTTGGACAAGCCACAGGTATGTCCAAGAAAAAAAAATCGGTTATTAACTACCCAAACATACCATCTGCGATGAGACCTGTCCCTCACAGTGACGAAAATCCTATTCCAAAACCCCCAGAATCCTACACTTGCGAATCAGAAAACGAATCAGATCATGGCGATCGAGTGATTCGTCAGGAAGAAGATATGCCATCAACGTCAAGAGATCCTGATTTTATACCGAGCACGTCATGCCACCAACCGCACAAAATAACACAGTCAGAATTAAATGATCTTGTAAGAGATTTAGAACTTCCAAAATGTAAGGCAGAGTTACTTGGATCAAGACTGCAGCAGTGGAACTTGTTAGAAGACGATGTTTTGGTATGTGTTTTTCGTAAACGACACAAAGACTTAGAACCATTTTTCAATATGGAGAATAACTTGGTTTTCTGCAGTAACATTAACGGCTTACTGGCGGCTTTAAATATAAACTATAACCCAGAAGAATGGAGATTGTTTATAGTCAGTTCAACATTGAGTTTAAAGGCAGTGTTATTGCATATTGGAAATATTTTACCATCTCTTCCTGTAGGGTATGCAGTTCACATGAAAGAATCATATGACAAACTGAAGTACCTATTGACATGCATAAAATACGATGAGCACCAATGGCATATTTGTGGCGATTTGAAAGTTGTTGCACTTTTACTTGGGCTGCAGCTAGGCTACACAAAGTTTTGCTGTTTTTTGTGTGAATGGGACAGTCGGGCAAATTCACTTCATTACACCAGACAAAACTGGCCTGTTCGTCAATTCCTAGAGCCAGGTCAAAAAAATGTACAGCATATGCCATTAGTAGATTCGAAAAAAAATTTATTACCACCACTGCATATCAAGTTGGGCCTAATGAAAAACTTTGTCAAGGCATTAGATAGAGATGGGTCAGCTTTTCAATACCTGCGTCAGAAATTTCCAAGACTAAGTGAGGCAAAGGTTAAAGAAGGTATTTTTGTTGGGCCACAGATTCGAAATATGTTGAAAGATACACAGTTTGAAAACATTTTAACAGGTATTGAAAAAACTGCTTGGAATGATTTCCATCTGGTGGTCACTAATTTCTTGGGAAATAGAAAAGCTGACAACTATAAAACTCTTGTCAAAAATATGCTGTCATCGTATCACAAGATGGGCTGTAATATGTCTCTTAAGATACATTTCCTACACTCACACCTGGACTTTTTTCCTGACAATTGCGGAGCCGTAAGTGATGAGCACGGCGAACGTTTTCATCAGGATATTTCAACAATGGAAAAAAGGTACCAGGGAAAGTGGAATCCTTCCATGCTTGCAGACTACTGTTGGACTCTTGGTAGAGATGCTCCAGAAACGATCCATAAAAGAACAGCAAAAAGACAGCGCATATAGTGATTCTTATAAGTATATGAATCTAGTTACTTTTTTTAATATATCCTTAAAAATAAAAAGTTTTTTTTCTAAACCGCAACTAATTTTTTTATTTCATTGTCATTTTTGGATTCAGCGCCCCAAAATTAACAAGGAAGTGCACTTTTCTCACAAGATACAATTAAAAAACTAAAATTTGTTGTCCAGTGTATCAATCACCGCCTGGCATTGTCTCGGCATAGATTGTAGATGTTTCTTGATATAAGATTCATCAATCTGTCTCCACTTTTGCAGTAAAGTGGCAAAAAGTTCATCCTTGTTTGAATATACGAGTATTTTATCTCGTATTTGCTTATCTAAGTATTCCCATAGATTTTCAATGGGGTTCATATCGGGAGACACCCTCAAACCATAACAGACCCGTCTCCATGTTTGACAGTGGGCAAAGTGTACTTGGGGTTCAATCTTTGTCCACTAGGACGCCTAACGTAATCAACACCATCTGATCCAAATCCATATTGAACTTGGATTCGTCACTGAAACATACCCTCTTCCCGTCACAGATGCTCCAATCAAGATGGAACCGTGCAAATTTTAATCGGTCCTTACGGTTTTTCGTCGAGATTAGCGATTCCTTACTCGGGCGACGTGTAAATAACTTCAAATCATTTAATCTTCTACTTATAGCTTTCGTAGAATCACTGACAGTTCCTTTTGTCTCGATTTCGGCTTTTATTTGTCTTGAGGTTCTAAACGGATCTTTGGACGAAACTGCTTTTACTAATCTAACTGATCTAGCATTTAGTTTTCTAGGCCGACCACTTCTCTTAGAGGCTTTTTGTTTATCTTTGTTCAATATGTCCCAAACTACTTTACGCTTCAGCTTCAAATTTTTGGGAATGATTTTAGTTTTCACATCGAAAGAAATTTCTGGACCACGCGGCATGGTCTTAAAATCACTCAACTTATTCTACAATAGTTGATGAACACAAACTAGTCCTCTTCTGACACAAAACTGTACTAAACTAATGTTGAAAAGAATTTGTCTACATACACTATTTTTGTCCCTCATAAAAAACTGCTTATATTCTGACTTGTATTGTGTTCATTGCAGATAATGTAAAAACAAGGAATTTAATTTTTCTACTAATAACGGATTTGTTTATGGAGCAATGAAGCATGAATTCGTTTTCTAAAAGTATTTACGTAAATATTCATATTTGTCTATATACTTTTGTCTATTACTGTCTGTTTTACGATACTTCATCACATTTTGACGTTTATTGGGGTACACAGCTGATCAGCAAGTGGCTCAGGATCGTATCTGTTTTCACATACTTTCACTAACCGAATTTTGTCAATACTTCCCAAACACGCGTGTTTTACATTTTAGGAGAGTCACCACAATCACATTTCGGATGCTTCTCTTGGTCCACTTACTTGTGAATTCAAATTGAGACAAACAATGGGCGAATATTAATCTAATTAAAACCAAACTCGCCACTAACCTGAGGTTTCTCGTGGCGATTCTCGAAGATCTTCTTCAAAGCCACCCCTCCAACAATAATCAACGCTGCTTTAGCCGCCATTAAAGCCTTCGCGGCCATTATTCCAATAACCTTCATCACTATAGGCCCAGTCAATCCAAAAATGCCCAGTAACACCAAAAATGCGTATTGGTAGTACTTTTTCTCTTTCTTGATTTCCTTGTGATTGAAGAAAGACACTTCGCCTACTCCTTGACCACCTCCATGACCACCTCCGTGACCCCCTCCACCACCACCTCCTCCTCCCCCGCCCCTCCTTCTAGCTGTTCCGGAGGCTCCTGCATCTTGGAATCTACCTGTCAAATGGATGTATCAGTACCGAGCAGTTTTTGGACCGTACGAATAAAAATTAAGTTAACGCTTAGTTAGAAGGAAAAGCAAATGCTCAGAGCAAAAGGTAGAAGTAAAAGCAAGTGTTTTTTTATACTACTAAATGTCAGGGTACGGCGGCTAAAAATTTTGAAAACGGGTGTTTCAGGGCTATCACCTGCGAGTTTGAAAATATCACATAAAAAATGATCACATAACATTGAAAAAACCTAACAAGTTCACTATCATTAAAATACATTTTTGGCTTAAAAGGAGTTAATAACATTGTTTTTCAGTCATCTCTACAGGGTGTTTCAGTTTATTGTTGCATAACTTTAAGATTCGATAGAACTTTTAAAATTAATGCATAAACAGGGGTCGAAAAATGCGTGGCTTCCGAAATACAGGGTGTTTAAATTTACTTTCTAAAATAGTTTTTTTTTAAATATTTCGAACAATATTTGATGTATAACAGTGAAAATTGGTATACAAGGGTTTTTGGTACGACAAAACGAACCATGGGCATAGTTTTACTGTAGCCGCTAGAGGGCGCTCTCTACTATACCTTTAGTGTATTAAAATGACCGAAAAAATTTTCTTAGTGCAATTTTTTGCTTTTTGAATAAAAAATATTATTCTTCGCACTTTTCAACATAAAAAAGCTCTCCTGTGAGTTTTCGTTATAGTTAACCCTTTTTGAGATATTTCGATTTTTAAGGTTCGATGCATTTTTAATTATTTATGGGAAAATAATTTTTTTTTCACATTTTCGATTTGGGCATTACAAGTAATTAAGATGATCGTTTAGATTGTGTTTTCAAACACAGCAATAATTCCTAACTCCAAATAAACACAAAAAAACAGAATATTAATTTGTTTAATTGTCCAATATTATTTTTAACAAATTAAATTAATTATACCATCAAGCTGGAACCAGGCCAATCTTCTTAAATCTAACATAACATCATCCCACATATTTGCATGTTCAGCATTCAAAAATTCCAAGAAGCTCGCAGCATTTAACCTTGCAGGCAAAAGGTAGGGTCCAAATAGTCGATTACGTAGATACCAATCCACACGTTCACACTAAATTCATGCTGAAAATGTCTTTCCTGAACTGCATGCGGATTTTCATGTGACCAAATATGTTGATTATGAAAATTTACCACTCCACCTCTAGCGAAGCATGACTCATCGGTCCATAAAACGTTACTTAAAAACTCCCTATCATTATCAGTTCTATCAAGAATCCACTGACAAAATGTGATTCTTCGTTCTCCGTCCCCTGGCTGTAGTCCTTGCACAGGTTGACGTTTAACCTTATTCTGACTTCAATTTCAAAAATACTTGCAGGCACAGCCTACTTCTAAAAATTATCGAGATACTGACTGTTTAACGTTATTTTATCATAAATAATTAAAAATGCATCGAACCTTAAAAATCGAAATATCTCGAAAACGGCTAACTATAACGAAAATTCAAAAGAGAGCTTTTTTATGTTGAAAAGTGCGAATAATCAGTTTTTTTATTCAAAAAGCAAAAAATTGCACTAAGAAAAAATGTTCGCTCATTTTAATACACTACAGGTACAGTAGAGAGCGCCCTCTAGCGGCTACAGTAAAACTATGCCCATAGTTCGTTTTGTCGTACCAAAAAACCCTTGTATACCAATGTTCACTGATATACATCAAATATTGTTCGAACTATTTATGCATTAATTTTAAAAGTTCTATCAAATCTTAAAGTTATGCAACAATAAACTGAAACACCCTGTATACACACTACGAGAGAATCATACGAAAGGTATGAAGAATACGGCTCCTGTTAAAAAAAAAGGATGTGCGACGTTAAATTAAAGAATTTCATAGATGTGATAAACTTGAAATTTAAATTATTTTCAGGGACAGAAACTCCGCTAATAGGCCCTGATTATATTCTAAGATAACATGCAATAGGCACTATGTAATACAATTACCTTCTCCGAAATCAAAAGTAATCGTATGCGTAGTGATGAAGTCCGACATAGCGTTCGTTAGTCTCTCGAATCCATTGAGTGCTCTGGCTTGTCTGAGGCTCACCTGCTCACCATTCCTGACAAACCTTAGGCCGTCAACTAACGTTGTAGATATGTTGCTATTTAATGCTCGTTCTATTTTTTTCGATACTTGGTTCGATACACACGCTACGCTGCAAAATTTCAATTTTTAAGCAGGTCATTTGTTGTGACTGATAAAGATGATGATGCTGGTGTTATATCAGGTAACCAAATAAGTTCGTGACGTTGCTGTTGTTGATCGATAGCGATTGTTTGTTATCTGTTGTCACTTTAGTATGAATCCTTCTTTTCTCAGTTGCTGAAAATTGTTACAAAAATATGTGCCGCATTCGGAGATGATGCCGTTAGTGATCGAAGAGCACAGAAGTGGTTTAAAATATTTTCTTCGGGAGATCTCAGTTTGAGCGATAAACCGCGTTCAGGGAGACCAGAAATCATGAACAACGAGGATCTTCGACAGGTTGTGGACGCAAATTCCAGGACAACGTGCCAAGAAATATTCAGAGTGAGTCCTGAAACTATTCGTTCGCATCTTCATCAGCTAGGAAAGACGTGGAAGTTAAGCAAACGGGTCGCACATGAACTGACAAATGATAACAAATTAAGTCCTCTTACCATTTGTTCAGCAAACATTTCACGCAATGGTCATGAACCATTTCTTAATCGGTTATTAACCTGCGACGAAAAATGGATCTTGTATTCGAATTCTAGGCGTTCATATCATTGGTTGTCGCCTACTGATAGGGTGCCACACGCCCAAGGCTTCCTTGCACCCAAACAAAGTTTTGTTGTGTGTTTGGTGCACATCAACTGGAATTGTCCATTATGGGTTTTTGGAAAGGGGTCAACCATCACTGCTAACTTGTATTCTGAGCAGCACTCACCCAGAAACAGCCTTCTTTGATCGATCGGAAGAAAGTGATATTCTTGCAGGATAACGCCAAGCCTCATACCGCAAAAGTGACCTGAGAAAAAATTTCTGAACTCGGCTGGGAAACGTTACCGCACCCGCCATATTCATTGCGACATTTCGCCAAGTGATTATCACCATTTTTGTCTCTTGACAACTGAATGAGGCACCGACAGTTCACAACTCGAGATGGTGTAATAAATGCAATCCGCCAATTTTTTTTACTCCAAATCCAGTTCCAGTTCTACAATACCGGCATACAAAAATTGGCAAAAGTTCATTGACGGTAATTACTTCAACGAATAAATAGTGTCATTGTTTCTCAATAAAAATTTATATTTTTCTACCAAAAAACCGCACGAACTTATTTGGTTACCTGATACTTGAAAGTCGTACCACCGGAAACAACTTCACTTCACTTTGATTGTTCAATTCATACGTCGGTTGCCTATACAATAATATTTGTAGTTTTGGCCGGCTATAAAGTTACATAATATCACTGCAGACACAACTAATGAATTTCCGCAGGACATCTATAATGTTATATAGGTTTATGTTTTTCAATTGTGTTCAATCTTCATCGTGAACACCCCCAGGTATATCCACATGCGACAAACGAACTTACAGACCACAAAGCTAAGATGAATGACCTAGTTGAAAAAATACATGCTGAACCTACTGTCTACCTTTGTCTTAAAAAAATGCATCAAGTAAGTTGACTCTACTTCCATGCAATGCTTTTGAGAAAAAAGATAGCTACGACCATATAACCAACAATTGAATGACCTTCCTTATCCCACTGAAAAAAATTCCTACGGGCGCGTGGATGACGATATTGACCTTTACAGCCTTTTAAGGGTAAATGTACAGGGATCGATAATGTGTGAAATATGTCCTGTAGGTGCGTACTGGCGTTGGGGGCGTATAAATATACTAGACTTCGAAGTTGAGTCATTTATTTTAACAGTGAGTAGATCTGATCAAAAGAAATGTTTTTTTCCTTTACCATTTTTCTGGTAAAATTAAAGTAACAAAGTTATAACCCTTTGGAAGTTTGAGTACCGCCCTGTCTCAATAATATCATGTACTCATGTTTGGCAACAACGGATATAATCCACCTTATCGGTTCATCGCATCGGAAACAAAAAAGCGAAAGAATTTGGAACGATGTTTATTTTATTCAGTTCAGTTATACATACAGTCAGTGTCAGCCGCGTGTGAATAGTGTCTGTTGCGTGGCTCAAACGAAATAAAAAATGGCACATGTTTATGCGGATCGGTTTCCCAATCGAGTGCAACCAACCCCTCGTGCCTTTGTTAATGTAGTACAACGGGCTCGTGAATCAGGTGACTTCAGACCTCACAGGGGACTTCACGATCAAATACAGGTCCGCACTGAAATACTTGTCGGGAGGATACTTTATAAAACAAGGTAAAAATTTTTTTTTATTTTTTTTTTGTTTTTACACACATATTTTGGTTTATCTTCCTTCTACAATCATTATCTGAAAATTAATGACTCAACTTCATATACATATACTAAGTGACATATAAATCCGAACACCCAGTTTAAATGGTTTTATTTTAATAAAAGTTGGTGAATGTATTTATCTTACTGTAAATAACAAGTGAAAAAATTTTCAGCCTTATCAGTTGGACATTCCGGTTTTTATACTGCTTTTTTTTTTAATTCACTAACGCTCTAAAAATATATATTTCAGCCGCAGCAAAGAATCAACGTTGGCGGATTTTGGTTCTTGACATCCTTTACGATCGGTTACGATGCCTAGAGTACGGAGACCTGTACGATTTCGTCAACTTAGTGAGTTTGATAGGGGCCGTATAGTGGGACTTCGGGAAGCTGGACTTTCTTTTCGGGCAATTGCAGTTAGAGTGCAAAGAAGTGTAGACACTGTGGTTAGGTGTTGTCAGGCATGGCTTCGAGAAGGCCGTACGCAAAGAGCAAGGGGCACTGGACGCCGCCGTAGAACAACAGACCGTGAAGATCGCCGCCTAAGATTATTGGCCTTAAGGGACCGTTTCTCCAGTACCAGGTCCATTGCAACTGAATGGTTTGCAGAACACGGAAGACCTATTGGCATGCGAAGTGTTTACCGATGAATGAGAAGTTTTGGCTTGTTTTCATACCGGCCACACTGGGTCCTCCCTTTAACTCGAGAACACCGACGTAATCACCTTGAATGGTGCAGACAACGGTCACTCTGGGATCAGGAATGGAACAGTATTGTCTTTAGTGACGAGTCTCGATTTTATTTAGGCATGCACGATGGTCTTGCCAGGGTTAGAAGGCGACGTGGTGAAAGGAGGAATCCACAGTTTTTTTTTGAAAGACATGTTCATCACACTGTTGGAGTTATGGTTTGGGGTGCTATAGCTTATGGTTCCAGGTCACCTTTAATCTTCATCAGAGGTAACATGAACGCGCAGCGTTATATCCACGAAGTTCTAGAACCCCATCTTTTACCCTATCTTGACACCCTGGCAGATCCAACTTTCCAACAAGATAATGCCCGACCACATGTTGCAAGAGTCACAGTAGACTTCTTTCAATATAATGATGTCACATTGTTACCATGGCCACCAATATTTCCCGACTTATCCCCAATTGAGCACGTGTGGGATATGATGGGTAGGAGATTGCTCAATTTGCAACGTCCTCCTCAGACTCTAGAAGCACTTCGAGAGGAGTTGGTGGTTGCCTGGAATGGGATACGACAGGAGGACATTGACCCCCTGATCAGAAGCATGCCTAGGCGCATTGGAGAATGCGTAGCACATCAGGGTGCATCCACACATTATTAAAGGTCAAAGGGCTTTAAAGCGGTGCAATCACTTTGAAATTTTTATCATTTACTTATTATGCTTCATTAAGTACTTATACAAAATTTTATTAAAATAAAACCATTTAAACTGGGTGTTCGGATTTATATGTCACTTAGTATATTATAGTAGCGTGTACATTAAAGTCTGTAACCCATCTACCGTGTTTCAGAACACATGGTCTTAGTATATTTAAGTTTTTACTATTCATGAGCCCGGCAATTTTCATGTATTTTTTATCTCTGAAGGAATTTTCTAAGAATGATGTAAATTTATAAAAATACTTTTTTATTTTAATGAAATAGTACTACTGGCTACTAATTATAAAGAATAATTGCGAACATCAAAAAGCATAACAAACAGTTGCTAATTGTTACCAAGAATAATTATGAAGATCAAAAAAACATGACAAACAGTAGAACTTATGATATACAGTAATGGGCAAAAGTATATAGACAGATTAATATTGTGCTGTATATCTTTGTTAACCTTTTTATTAATACACCAACCTGTATACATAATACTCACTTATATATTGCTTTTAATGAATCAGATATAAACCGAACTTTAACTAACATAAATGAGGACCTTCAGGTTCTTTATCAGCTAACAAAAAAATATTGTCTCTCCGTCAACGCCACTAAATCTAAGGCTCTACTATTTGGTAAAAAAAGTATCGTGAACTATACTCCAATAATTTAGACATTTATTTCGGACAAGACAAAATAACTTTTACAAACTCCGCTAAAAATTCAGGGTTTATTATGGATACAGATCTACGCTTTTCCCAGCATGTCTCTCTTATAACCAAAAGGGCATTTTCATCATTGAAACTGCTAAACAATAGCAGAAGCATAATAACCAAGACAACAAAAATAATATTGTGCGAGTCTTTAGTTCTTTCTCACCTGAGCTATGCAGACTGCGCCTACATCGAGATAAGGCGCGCCTTCAGCGTATTCAAAATTCTTGTGTCAGGTTTGTTAGTGGAATTAGAAGGCGGCAGCCGATATCTCTTCACTTAAAGAACTTAGGTTGGCTCAATATAGAGAAAAGAAGGTACCTTCATCGATCCGTACTATACCACAAGATACTCAATACTAAATCACCATCCTATCTTTACGAGAAGATCAAGACCCGTACAGAAGTGCATAGTCGTAACACGAGGTTTAAACATCTCTCACTACCTAAATTTAAAACTTCAAATTATAAGTGCTCTTTTTCATATGACATAGTTAAGGTTTACAACTCGCTGCCTGATAGAATTAAAGCCCTATCAATTTTGAGATTTAAGCGAGAAGTGAAGACTATCTTGAGACTTGAGATAACTTAAATTTAACACTGCACGCTGATTTGCCAATTATTCTTCTGTATGTCTTTTTCGTTTGATCTTCGACATTTTACCTTCATAAGATATTATCTACAACTTCTAGCAATCTCATTCAAGCATCAACTCGTTTTATATTATAGGTTTTACCAAGGTGCCTGCAACAGTTATATGTCATCTATGGATGTATAATATAATATATAGTTTTAAAACACAATATGTCTATACGTATCTGTGTTAATGTTTAACTTTTCTCTTGCTGTTATTATTATTACTGATATACTACTTTATTTTTTTTTGTTATGTGGAAGAGCGCGGATTGACAACTATTGGTTCTCAATCAAGCGAACCTTGCCGTTTGCTTATTGCATCAGATTTATGTACTTTTTCTTTTTCTGTACTTTCATGAGCAATAAAAGCAATTTATTATTATATTCAGTGTAAAGACTAATGATTTCCTAGAAAAAATAGGTTAGGCCTGGGGATAGGATATTTTTCGCTTCATTTGGGCGATTAACGTGTTAAAAGTGCGATATTTCGCGTAGGATTTGATAAGCTGCGTGATTGCAATCTCTACAAGCGTTACCTTAGGCTAAATCCTCCACAATGCTCCAAAACCTCATCAACCACTGTTCTATCACTGTCAGTACTGTTGTCACTGTCCTGGCACTTTACATCCACTGTTAAAACAAGAACTGCCAGACTGAAAAAACTCTTGATGGATCTCATTATTGCAAATGAGATATTGCTGCTTAGCTGAATGCTTTTATACACTCTCTGCCTTTGCATGTCCAACGTCCGTAACACGCGATGTTTCCTTGGATTTACTTTTAGGCCAAATCCGTGAAAAAGTGCAATGGGAGGATTTTTAATGTAAGCAATGACCGAGTAATATCAGTAAACATTAATAAATGCACTAGATATCCAAGCTGTCCGGAAAATGCGTGGTTTTTTATCATTTCATTTATCTGTATTTGCGTTTCTGCGATGTTTCTGCTCTTAGATAATTGCAGTGTTATACCGGTTAGAAGAGGTAATGTAACAGTTTAACGAATAAAAATGTACAAGGTGGCACGTCCATGTTGGAAAGGAATATTACTCATAAACAAATACATTTTGGGAAAATCTATTTATGGCATGTTATACATGACATTTCAGGGCACATTTCTAAAATATTGACAATTATACAGGGTATTGCATATTTGGATGAACCAATTTTAAAGAAGAAGATTGATATAACATACTATGGGGTTTTGGTAATTATCTACTGAGATATTAGGTGTTTTGTCTAGAAAAACCTCCCACTTCGGAAACCCTCAGTCCGCCATTTTGAAATTTGGAGTGCTAAATTCTGATTCAAAAAAAACTTACACACCTCAGCTTTTATCTTATTTGTTACTTTTTCGAATTTTCATATTTGCGCAGTCAGGGTGGTCGAAAACGCGAATTGTACTTTTTCTCAAAAACCCTTATGTGTCTTACTAGACTGATACTTCAAAAGAAAACGTTTAAAAAATTGAATCCAAACTTGCACAAATATACCGGGTGATGCATTTGAAATGTTTGAGAATAACCACAATTTGCGTTTTTGACCACCCTGTATGAGCAAAAACTGAAATTCGAAAAAGTAATAAATAAGATAGAAGCTGAGGTGTGTAAGTTTTTTTTGCTACAAAATCAAGCACTCCAAATTTCAAAATGGCGGACTGAGGGTTGCCGAAGTGGGAGGTTTTTCTAGACAAAACACCTTATATCTCAGTAGATAATTACCAAAACCCCATAGTGTTATATCAATTTTCTTCTTTTGAATTGATTTATTCAAATATGCAATAAAATTTGAGGCATTCCATTTGAAAATGTAGGTCAAAATTGGGACGCCCTGTATGATGGCCAATATTTTAGAAATGTGCCCTCAAATGTCATGTATAACATCCCATAAATAGATTTGCCCAAAACATATTTGTTCATGAGTGATATTCCGTCCACACATGGATGGGCCACTCTGTATATTCCTTTACCTGAGGTCGCAATTCAGTGAATACTAGTTAGCACAGTTCCATAAAAAATTCATAATATGCATGTCAGTGAGACTTAGATATGTAATATTTGATGCCCTGATGTCCATTGATTAGATGATAATTACATTTCCTCTCCGAGCTAACAGTTTATTTATATCGATCTATGATAATTTCATAACCATTCTACAGGGTATTAATAAAGTATGTAGACATATTTTAACCATCGAATCCTTGGTCAATTTGGAGACGCAATTTCCATATGCACATGGGCCCGCAACGGCTTTGTTTTCAAGCTAGAGCAAATTAGCACTAAAAGAAATGATGATATTGTTCAGAAAAATTATAAAAGTATGGAACATATTTTATTTTAATTAAGTATGCCCTGTGGTGAATATCATATGTTTTCAGACCCTGCATGATAAAGTCATCCAATATTTTTTGAAAAAATAGCATGACAGTGATTTGTTTTGATCGCAATATTTTAATCAGGAGAGTTCGTCAGTCAGTGTGTAACAGACTGAATTGAAGTCGAACGTGGCCACTTTGAACATTTATTGTAAAAGAAAACTATTCGATATTTTCTGTTGTTGCTGTTACTGTTCAAAACTATTTACCTTCTAAATATTTTTTCCCCGAAAATGCAGGATAATAATATTTTCATCCACGTTCATATTGAGCCTCAGGAACTTGTAAAACATGCAAAATTTATCATAGGTGATACAAACTGTTCAATAAATACGTTTTATTATTCATAGAAATGTTTAGAACATTACTCGTATTTCTTTAGTGATAGTATTCTAGCTCGAAATGAAACCCGTACGGACCCATGTTCATATGAACATGTAGTCTTCAAATTGACCAAGGATTCGATGGTTAAAGTTTGTCTACATACTTTATTAACACCCTGTATATCGGATGGTTAGTCCACATATGCCCGATGTAACGTATGTTTAATAGTTATCTGAGAGTTTTTTGATGATAGGGCCTATCTAGGCCTACCTAAGAATTCTGCTTTTTTATAATACTTAAATAAAGTTTGGCAATGTCAACGTATGATATTATACATTTTTGGGATAAGGATTAAAAACTCCGTGCAAACATTCCATATGGCGTCCATAAGAAAAAATAAAGTTGATGCTGGAGAACAAGAGACGAAACGTCATAGTAGAATTCTAATTATGCCTTCTTTTAGAGGAAAAAATTGGCAATGTTAATGTGCAATTTATTTTGAAATCACACTACAAATGAAGTCAGCAAAAAATTAAAACGATTTTGGAAAAATTCAGTTTATTCCGTCTATCTCCGGAATGCATTGAATTTCGAAATTTTCTAAGCGACATTTTCTTGATTACCTAAATACGCAACTTTTCCCCCATTTAAGCGAATCGTATCTCTTACGATTTCCAAGATCCCAATAGTGAGGGTCGAATTGGAAACTCCTGGTATTTTGTAACCAAATATGTCCACTCTCCTTTTAAAGTAAAAGGAAGAACTAGGAATCATTTGGAGAAGTTTAACTGGGGATTTTGAGAAAACAGCTAACATGTTAACATTCAATAAATACTTAATATTTATTGAATGGCAAACTTGTTAACATTTAATAAATACTTAATATTTATTGAATGGCAAACTAAAAATATTGTGTATACTTTATCTGAAGTCACTTGAAACACTGTGAAATACCGGGTGCGTTTTATATATCTATATTTAACACGCTCTGTTGCTGCAAAAATCGCCAAATTTCGCAGCAAATATCCCCCGTATAAGATCAAAGGCAGTTTCACCGGTCCACGTGGAGTAAAGCACGCCTATGCGTGGACATAGCCAATGAGAAAGCGTGTATTTCAGAACTCCGAACAAGTGCAGGTGGCTACTGAAAATTGAAACAGTTTAGCCAGTGCCGTGTAGCGGTGAATAAACGTGTTTTCTTTAGTCTGACCGTGTTTTTTCATTTTATTAGTTTGTGTGTTTTTGACTTTTGAATACTCAGTTTACTTGTTGATTTAATTGTTGTGTTGATTGTTCTTGTGTGTCCTAAATATGGCTCTTTGGAGACCTTGGGAAAATGCTCCAAGCCACGAGGAGATGGTTGATGAACCTGTGCAGGCAGAATTCTTTCATAAAGATTTAGAGAAACAGACCCAAAGAGTAATCCTAAATATGTATGATTGTTTGAAAAACGAAAATCCAGATTCCTCGCAAAATCAAATTTTAAACAGAATTTGTATCCTGACAAAAATCAGTCGGTCTACCATTTATCGGGTTATAAAAACAGAAACAACAGAAAGCGCATAGGGCAAAAATTAAAAAGAATACTCGTGGGTTTTCAGGAAGATATTCGTCGTATAATATACGGATTTTATAAAGAAAATTTGGTGCCCACGTCGGAAATGATACGGGATAAATTAAAAGATTATCCTGAAGATTTTTATAATTACAAATGCTTAGACTCACTGCACTGTATTGTAAAACTGTGTGGTTTTCAATACAAAAAATTAGATAAAAGAACGGTGATTATGGAGTCGTCTCGAATCGTTGAATTGCGCCAAGAATTTTTGCACAAAGTTAAAATCTATAGAGCAGAAAAGAAATCTGATTTACCTGGATGAAACGTGGTATAATACCCATGATGTTGTGCAGTACGGCTGGGTTGACGACAGCAACAAGTGCATTTTAAATGCACCATGCAACCGTGGAAAACGAATCATTATTCTCCATGCTGGCAGTGAAAATGGATTTATACCTAATGCCTTGCTGTTATCTGCCAAAAATATCAAAGAATCATGTGCCGACTATCATGAGGACATGACCTGCGACTTACTTGAAAAGTGGATAGAGCAGCAGTTAATACCAAACATTTCCCCAAATTCAGTGATTATTATGGACAATGCGCCATACCATTCCCGACAGAAAAACAAAATTCCGAATACAGGTACAAAAAAACAAGACATTATTGATTTTATGAAGGATAAGGGAATGGAAATACCACAAAAATCAACCAAAGCCATATTATTGGATCTTATTAAAAGACAAAAATTTGAAAAAGAGTATGTTGTTGACAATCTGCTTCAGCAAAATGGCCATGAAGTGTTACGTCTACCTCCCTATTACTGCATTTTTAACCCGATTGAGTTGGTCTGGGCTGCTTTAAAAAAAAGTAAGAAAACATCAGACCCCTCAATTAAGTGAATCGCTATTGGCCACAATAAGAGATGCAGTATCTCATATTGCTGCCACAGACCTATGGAAGCAGTGTTCTAGGCATATTATTGAAAAAGAAAATGAATATAGTGTTTTGCCTCCTGTAAATCCCGTTGTAATTCCTCTACAAGATGACTCTAGCGACAGCTTCGAAGGCGAGGATGATATATAAATACCTATAATGTAAGTCCTTATATACCTTTTTATATACCTACCTGCTATGTAAATATTTGCCTATGTCAAACGTTGGAATTCTGTAATTTTTCCATTTCTTAACTTTCAGTCAACAGAAATTAAACTCCCAATATAAGTATTTTTTATTCCAAATCAAAAAAATAAGAAGATAGTAAAATCCATTTATTGTGATATAAAAACATTATTATTATCGTTCTAAATAAATTTTACCGCACGCCTATGATACGTCATGAAATTACAAAGGACGCGCCGACCAAAGGTTTTTATGCTATTTCAAGTGACTTCAGATAAAGTATACCTAAGTGATGACTAATTCAAGGTGAGGTTAGGTGTCATTTTAAAAGGGTAATGGGCATATCAAGGTTGGGTCCCATTTCTCACCATTGAGGTTTCGAAAAGAGGAAGCAGCTTCAGCAACATTTGCAACGACTTTAATGGTAAGGAAGTGATGCGATAAACCAGCTCATCTATTAAAATCGCTGCAGTGGTCGCTGAAATTACTCAGTGACAAAATAGACAATAGAGAGACTGACAGAAGTAAATAACTTGATCTTCATAATGAAATTATCATGAATTATCAAAAAACGGTATTGTGTTTAGGCAGTATTAAACTGTACAAGGTTGTTGCGTCCCCAAGCAGTGATAACCTCCAGGTGTCTCGTCAGAGAGGGGGACGCTGCTAG